GAACTAGGGACATCACCAGGAGCCAGATGGTGGGGCTCAGCAGGGGTTTGACACCCCTGGATTAGAAGAATCATCAAATTAATTTACAGCCTGCTCTCAGTAAAATCAGACTTTGAGAGAAATATTCCCACCCTCCCTACTCCTGGCTTTCAAACAACCCCCCTCAGCTTCCCAACTCATCATCAGAAGTAAAATCCTTGTTAATCAACAGACACCAAATGGGACAAAGCCTTGCGTTTAACAATTGATACAAAACCTGTCAACATGTTTCCACTGCTATAAAAGTCCTGTCACCCCCCACACCTACTCGCCACTAGCAATGAACCCATAAGAATCTGTGGATCTTACACATCTTTCTCAAAATGTGGTACATCTGATTCAGTGCAACAAATGTCCTTATGGTAACTCTATGGGTAAAACTAGACAGAAACTATGTATATAAAGGACAGAGGCACAAACACCAGTAGGAGCACATTTTTCACAGAACAACCACTCTCTTTCTGATCCCACTATCCTTGTGCTCAAAGTTTACAAAACACTTTCAAAAGATGAGTCTAGAAACAAAAAACCATAAGCTGTCTGGACACTAGAAACCAAAGACTGAATACCGATATAGACTCTATGGCATGCTATAATCTACCTGATTCCTGAAAATCTTTCTTCATGCTACAGGTGATAATGACCTTCTTCACTTTTGAAAAGTCTTGATCTTCCACAAATCACATTATTTTCCTTCTGTTCATTGTTTATCTCTTACCTCTAGAATTCTTCTTTTCCAGTTTCACAGTTATCCACACTGTTCTTAATCTTCTCTGTGCCAGCTTCTTTCATCTGCCCTGATGAAGAATGCTTTGCATTTAAACACTTAAGTGGATACCAACCATGCAGCTAGTCCAGTAAAAGATATCACCCACAGAAATCCTGGCCTCCTGGACCATCATGGCTATAACGTCACCTCTGCATTATTGAAACATGTTCAGAAAAGCGCATGCTCCTGGCTAAATGTGCTGAAGCTATGCTTTTAAAGGGAGTACACTGTAGATAACTGATATGCTGAAACAGATGTGATGTGTACCACAAGTGGCATAGGTAGCCTTAATGTGTGGCACGTGGCAGATGAGGAAGGGAAACAAGCAGCACACTAGCAGCTGGGGCATGAAGCAGAAAGCAGAGCAGCAGATGGGATAGGGAGCATAAAGAAAGAAGCAGGAAGCAGAGTAACATATTGGGCAGGGGAAGGGGATTGGAGTGGTACTCAGGGAGAGTATCAGACTAATTTGTGTCACACCTGCCAAAAAGGTTGGCCCCAACTGTGCTAGACCAAAGGCTAGGGACAGACATTCAAAAAGCCTGAGCCTGAATTGATTTAATCTTTGCAGGTTAGTCTAACCTGGATAGGCTGAACCAGTTTATAACCAGACAGACATTCTTTCTGGACTGAGGAAATTCAGGCACATGCCTCCAGTGGTTCAGGCTAGAAGCTGGGGGGTGTTACAGCAGCCCTCCCCTCCCTTGAACAGTGCTGAGCTGAGGGAGTGTGTGGTCAGGCCTCGGCAGGATGCTTTGATTAGGGAGGTCTGCCTGTACCATCCCAGGCGTTTCCCTGCTCAAGAGGTGGCAGTGTTGCCAGCCCCCAGCCTTCTGCTAGCACTCTGAAGCAAGGGCGGGGCAGGGATGTGTAGTGCATGCATCTGTTGATGATATGGACCGTTTCAATCTCTCTCCTGCTTCTGTATACTGTCTGAAGCAAACTGACAGGCAAACAAGCTAGCAGGGGGTTGATAACAGTGTTTATCACCCCATCAGCAAAACAATAGCCTCTCTGATTAGTTCAAACTCTTCTTAAACAGCTTACCAACTGACCTGTTGATTAGCTCCAAAAAGCCCTAAGCAGTCACTGTTCTTCCTGGCTGTTCCAGTGAAATTAGAGAGAGACACACACAGACACCTCTTGGCAATAGCAAGCATACCACGTGCCTAGGCTCCGTGGGGCTGGGGTTCATGCAGTGGGAGAAGGGACGGGGGATTCCTGCTTGAGCAGCAGGGGGGTGGGGGTAGGACAGGGGGAACCAGGCAGACACTGCTGTACCTGCAGTCTCTGCTAGAGCTCCAGCCATGGAGCAGAGGGGAGAGCCCTGCCCTGCCCAGCCCAGAGAGCATGCCAGGATGCTGGGGGAGTCTGGTTTATCTTAAACTAGCAAGGGGACTGGGACAGGCACTGCATAAACTGGTTTGGCCCAAATCAGTTAAGTCTGATACTACATTCAACCAGGTTCTTCTCAAACCCGTTTCAGGCATTTTCAAACTGGTTTATGTGCACTGAACATCTTCTCTGTTACAGGTTTAAACCAATTTCTGATCACTTAAACTGGTTAATGTGGAGTGTCTGTTCCTAGCTGAATTCTAATATTATAAAAGCCTTTGTCTGTCTGTCTGTCTGTCCATAATGTTTTATTTATGCCTGATTGGCTGACTGAAACAACCAATGAGAGTGCGAATGCAATGTTTGGACAGGAGGTGGTGGTACAGCGGAGTGCCGCCATGATGGAAGAGACACGGGATGGAGCGGGGGACAGCAACAGAGCATACAGAATGGCGGGGGCGAGGCCAGCAGTGCTTGCCTTGCCTCCCCTGTCCTGATCCCTGCAGGTGGTGATGATGGAGCAGGGTGGCAGGGTGAGGCCACCAGAGCTGGCCTCGCTCCCCCTACCTTGCTCCTTGGAGGTGGCAGCAGTGGTGCCGGGGGGTGGGGGGATTGTGGTTGGGAGGCCGCATGGGGGGGTGATGCCACTGGTGCTGGCCTTGGCCCACCCCTCTCCCCTTCCATCATCGCTGCCTGCAAGGCCGACACAGGCTGATGTGGCAGCAGTAGAGGGAGGAGTGGGCTCAATCTGGGAGGGGGAGGAGCAGGCGCGCCGTGGCGGCGGAGGGGGGAAGAGTGGACCTGAGCCAGTGCAGTGGTAGTGGTGGTAGTGGAGGGAGGGGAGGTGTTGGCCCAGGCCCGATGTGGGAGGGGGAGTGAGCCTGAGTGGGGGAGAGAGGCTGGGCTGTCATGGCAGTGAGGGGCAGGAAAAGCAGGCTTGGCCTGGCCTGGCCTGGCCTGATGCAGCAGTGCTGGGGGAGGAGAGGAGCGGGCTTAGGCTTCTCCTCCCCCACCCCACCCTCCCCTGCATCAGCACAGAGCCCGCTCCTCCCGTCCCCCTGCTGCTGCCCGGTTGGCCCAGGCCCACTGCTCCCACCCCCTTACCCCCTGCCATGGTGGTTCAGCTTCTCCCCACCCTCAGGCCCAGTCCTCCCCTGCATCGGGCCTGCTTCTCCCCTCCCACCGCTGCTGCAGCGGGGAGGTGGGGAGATATAAACTTCATGCTTCAAGAGTCTGACCTGTACATAGATTATAGGTAACCTGATGTATAGCCTACTGATAAAAGTGCACCCAGCCTTTTATTTGCTTGCACCTTAAAACATGAAAACAAACATTTATCCCAAAGTTTATCTGGCTACCCACAACAGCATAACATAGATTCTCACCTGTACTGGCTGGGAAGATTTGAGAGGTGGGAGGAGTGTGTCATGCAGCAGGTCATTTTCACAGCAGAGCCTGGCAGCAGGTCTTTTTTAATTTGTTGAGTTATCCAAATTTTCCTCCAGCCTGTGCCCAATATTTATAGATGGCTGGTTTTAATATTCTAATAAAGCAGTGGTCACCAACAGTAGATCTCAATTCACCAGTAGATCTTGGAGCCTCTTGCGGTAGATCTCGGAGCCTCCTGGAGTTGATCTGAGGCTGGGGTGGGAGGCTGAGTGCCCATGTACATGCACCCGTATGCCCCAGCCCAGCAGGTCAGTCCACGGGGGAGAGAAGAGTCAGGGGCTAGATTGAGGCCTCTGCAGTGAGGGACAGGGAAGCAGAGGAAGGAGCAGGGGTAAGTTGAGTGGGGCCCCAGCTGGGTAGGTCTTACCTGCTGGGGAGGTGCACCCCCAAATAATTTTTTCTCCCTCTGCCTCGATCTGCTCCGCCCCCTTGCCTCCCTACAGACTTACCTGCTGGGCGGGAGGAGGTGGTGGTGGCAGTGCACGTGACATTTTGGGTTGCTTTTAAATGCCAAAGATGATTTCCTACTTAAAAAGGTTGGAGACTACTATAATAAGGGATTCCTGACTGGTTTTATTTAAATTGCTTTGTTTCACTGAAACTTTTGGAACTGGACTGAACCAGAACTCTTTTAGACTTCAAAGGTGTAAATTAGTTGGGATTTATATTCATGGGAGAGAGGGAGGGTTTCTTATTGCCTTTCCTTACCCATTGTGGAATGCTATTTCTGTTTCTTCACCACCTTAGTTTATGGACTTTTCTGACATGGCTGTTTTTGTTTTTATAAATTGACTAAGCATTTTAACAAAAACATATCTATTATAGCAAAATAACATTGAATACATTTGGTTATATCAGTCACTACTACTACTACTTTAAGATACAGCAATGATATAGGGTATATGGATTATTTAACATATGGCCTTCCTTTATCTCCTTTTAGGCCTTGTGGGTTTTTTTAATTGTGTTTGATGGTTTCCTTTACTTGCTGCCCAAGTTAATTGTCACATCTGCAAAGGTTCACACTGCAGTTATTCAGAAACAGGCTTTGGGCCTTTTGCTTAGCATTACTTCTGCAGCTTAGGCTAGGCCCCTTGAAAATGGCCAAGGCTGGCAACAGGTTCTATACTTTGTCTGAGCTGGCAGCCCCCATTCCTCAGGAGAGAAGTCCCACTGCTATTGTGACATAAGTGGACTCTTTTTGACAGCAGTTCTTCAGAGAAACCTATAGTAATTAGGCTCTCCATTCTCTTGGACCTCTTTGAAAATTTCAGTCTTAATGTTTTAGATAGTTTACTTTGAAGTTGCTGATAAAATATAATAAACCATTAAACTACACTGTTTGTTTGTTTTGTTGCTGTTGTATTTCCCTGTTCTCCTGACTTTCTGTTTTCTTATATTCTTCTAGGACCTTCTTACAATTTAGGCTAATGAGGACTTAACATTTGCAGAATGAAAAGATGGCACAGGCAATGCTGGGACCACCAGGACCTGACAGCTTCTTCTACTTCACTAGAGAATCTCTTGCAGCTATTGAAAAACGTATTGCTGAAGAAAAGGCTAAAGGAGACTCCAAAGATGAAGGTGGTGATGAAGGAAATGGCTGCAAGCCCAATAAGGACTTGGAGGCAGGAAAAACACTGCCATTTATTTATGGTGACATACCTCCAGGAATGGTGTCTACACCACTGGAAGACATTGACCCATACTATATCAATAAAAAAGTGAGTGTTTGTACATCCCTGTTGGATTTAATATAATGTAAGTTTTTCGAACACTGGCATGGGTTGAGAGGAGGAGAGCATATATTAATTTTGCAGTCCTGGGGATAATTGTACAGCTGTACTTTGCAATATCCCAGGATAAACTGTTACTACCTCTTATCTGGGAAACTTTGTCCTGGGATAAATCCTAATAATGGATATGGATGTCTGTACAACTGCACCTTGTCCTGGGATAAAATGGTTTGGCCTGGGATAAATGCAATGTCTGTTTGCAGGATTAGCCAACTCGACCATTTCCTTTACCTGCCAAAGCCATGAACCAGCAGGAAAACTGTAGTTGGTTAAGTTTAGTAAAGTAACTGCTTGTGTTCTTTTTGGGCAGGGAACTAGGTCATTGCAAAATTAGGGACCTACCAAATTCACAGCCAAATAGGGGTATGTGGCAGCTCCTTTAATCTTTCAAACTCCCTCTGCATGCCCGTCCACCCCCTTCCCCTGCCGTTGATTGGCAGAGGGGCCCTGCTGCTCCTTCCTGATTAGCAGGGAAGCAAAAACTACGGTTTTAAATACGGCATGGTTTTTGCCTCTCAGCAGCAAGTACTGGGGCACTGGGCCCCTCAGCTAATCAGTGGCAGGAGGCAAAAATGGCATCATATTTAAAACCGCAGTTTTTGCCTCACTGCTGATCAGGAACAAGCTGCAAGCATGGTGCCTTCAATCAGTGGTGGAGGGCATGTGGGCAAACCTGCAAGATTAAAGGAGCCGCAGTGCACCCCACTTCTGCTGTGAATTCGGTAGGTCCCTAATCATAATGGATTAAGCTGTATGTTAGAAGAATATTTGCATTACTGACAAATGGAATATGTACCTGAACGGGTTGCTATTTACCATCTTTGCTTTAGCTTAAGCTTTGGAAGCATTTCTTCTTGTATTATTCCCATTCAGCTGTAAGTTCAGAATGCACCTGAACTTCTTATATTTAAGTATTCATTTGGGGAGGGAGAGGGGGCACAGGAGAATGAGAATTATGAGAATATCTGAGAGTTACCACAATAGGAACCAAAAGCATCTCTTCTCATAGGCTGTCCACAAAAACCCTAGTGCCAGATGAAAATAAATTTTTAAATTGAGGTTATACCATATATTTGGCATGCTTGCTTTTTTTTCTAAAAAAAGCGATAACATCATTGCTAACTGATAATTCAATCTGAGATTTAACAAATTAATTTTAATTCTCAGTTTTCTGTGGGAGAACTTGGACTGTACCTAAATAGGGCATGTTACATGTCATGTACATCAATGGGCTCCAGTTAATGTGGCAAACAGACCAAGATTCCATATTGTCTGAGTGAAGGAGCTTGCACAAATTCTTCTGTCTCCCTGAAGCAATTCAGTGTGGCTGGGTATACATGGGCACCAGCAGATGTAGACCCATCCCCCCCCGAGCTTTACCAGAAGAGGAAGCGCGTTAGTTTGGGCATGCTTTTATCTAAAGTTGATTGAATCAGCTGTTAGATAAAAGTGCCAAAAAGCCCCACCAAAGCGTGCAATCTATGCAGATATTGGGTGAACCTGGTCAAACTAATGTGATGATTCTTTTGGGCATGTGCTGTGGGGCAGTTTGAATTGAATTCTTAAATACAGAAAACAGCTATAAAGAGTGGAGTGTTGGTGTGATGCTTTACATGGCCTGCGTTACTAAGCAACTAGTCTGATACTTTTTGAACCAAATAGAGCTTTTTCCAGGATGGAAGGCAATGCTTAGTTTAGATAACAATTTCAGAAGGTGTGATTTCTGCCATGAATTTGTTATGAAGGTTATACCTGTAGAGAGCCTACTGTGACTGGAACTGAGTCTGATGACTCAGGGACACAGGCTTCGAGTCCTTCCGGAAGTGAGTGGTTCTTGTAATCATTCAGTTACTTAGTAACTTGGATTTCATTGATGTGAAGGCTGCAGGTTGATGAAAGAATCTAAGTCAGATGTCCTGAATGATGGGTATGAGAGGACTTTCTTTGAAGCTCTTCACTCTTCCTACTAGAAATACGTTATTTTTGTTAGGAATCTGCCTGTTATCTTTTGACCAGTTTTTCTCACCTTCGTGCATGTATGGTATAGTAAGCTGTCACGTGTATGGTAGACGAGATAGTTTAACCAACTCTCATTGATGAGCAAGTTACTGTGGACTCCCTAAGGGACTGTAAATTCTTACTATAGTTTACATAATGATACCTTCCTTATGAACCCTACTTGAAGGGCTTGCTGTATTGCCTGTCGAGAGGAAAGTTTAAAGATTAAAAAATATATTTTCTGAGAAATGGAGTTTCTTATATTATAAATAATATTAGAAAGAGAAGAATGGATGAAGAAGAAGAATTCATGAGAGAATGCAAAATAAAGTTTATGCTGGTTATGAAAGAAAGCTGAGAAATTAAGAAAGGAGAAAAGAGAAATACAGCTAAAGCATATCATCACTGTCCACAAAATGAAAACTAAATAAATAATAAACTAAAACTAAATGGCAAATTAAATGAAAACTAAATAAGAAAGTGCTTATTTAAATAAGTAACGGTAGAAAATTCAGTATAGTTAAGTATTGCTCAATAAAGGAATAAGTAGTGAAGAGACTTTAAGGACATGTTATTTTTGGAGACAGATTTATTTTTTCCTATCAAGATAGAAATTGAAGCAAAGTTTCTAATACAGGATATTGAAAAATAAAGGCAGTATTAACCAGAATAAGTGGTCTTTGAATTTAGAAGGCCTGGAGACATGAATTATGATGTAAAGATTTATTATGCATCAGTTGCTCCAGAATAATTTAATGTCCTTACCAAATAGAAAGTATATCTAAACTGGGGTAAATTATCCCTCTTTCTTTGCAGGGTTGGCAGCTTTGGTTTAGCTTTTTATCATTGCAGGGTAAAAAGGCTGTTATTGCAGAGCAATTGACAAGTACCATATTCATCCAAATCTAAGATGACTTAGAATTTAAGATGACCCCAAAATAGCAGACTTATACTTGGAAAATTTACAAATTTATTATAATTTTCCATATCCAGAATCTTATTTTTGGAGGGTCATTTTAAATTCACCCTTCCCACTGCCGCAGCAGGAAAAGCATCAGCAAGGGTCAGGCCCTCCCCCCCACTACTTGTCCCTCCTGCAGCCTACTCCACCCAGCAGTGTCTGCAGATTCTAGCCCACCCTGCAGCTGCCCTCCCCACTTGTCCCCTGCAGCCTCTGTCCCCCCACACAGCCTATGCTCCCTGCAACCCTGCCGCTTGCTGTTAAGCACTGCTCTGGTTCCAGCTCTGGCTCCATTCTCTCCTGGAGATGGAGCTCATGCAAGCTTTGGCTCTACCCACCCATACAGAAGGATATTTCAGCACCCTGGTGTTGGAGCTGTTGCTGTTGCTGTTGCTGCAGTTGTATTTCCAGGCATGTGCTCCATTCCTGGGAAGGAATGGAAATGGAGCAGAAGCTGGAGCCTGAGCCACGCTTGACAGTAAGCAGCAGAGGCTTTGGCAGGCAAGTGGCTGTTGCAGCTCTGACTGGCCCCAACCCAGGCTTGGGGCCAAAGTCAGCCACCCCCGCCTCCGCCCCTGCCCCCGCCACTTGGTACTTAAATCCAAGACAAAGAGCTTTTTTGCTTTTGTAGAATGAGGAGAAAAACCTCATCTTAGTAAGCCCCTTTACCTCACAGTATGTGGTTCTTGTATCCGTACCATAAAGTTTAAATGGACTGCTGTCTGTAATTATTGAGGAAATAACAAGAGCCAGAAATAAGTAATTTCTAAATTGAACAGTGGTAACCAAATTCTAGAACTGTTAAGAAGGAGAATAATTACAAAACAGCAAGTGACACACTACAATTTAATTATGATTGTTTGACACTTTCTTGAAAGTGTTTACCTGTTCAAAAAGGTTTGTATTACTAGTGCTAATGATAGATAGATTGTGTCGTGGGTGAGACAATATATCCTTTAAAATCTTCTCCTATCTACTTCCGTCGTTTGAAATGATTAAGTAATAGGAACCTAATTTCAGATGTTTGTGTTTATGCAAGTGACCCATGTCTAGAACTCTAAATTAGATGCAAAATCAGCTCATTTGCATATTCAAATTGAATCTCACTAAAGTTTTTAGAATAATGGCATATTTGTCCTGTAATCTTGTATTATATTCTTCTATGTGTGTACATGCATTCATGTGATATAGTTGGCTTTAATTTGGACGGTTCTGCTATATACCTGAAAAGCATTGAAGTAAATATATCTTGAGGGCTGTGAATGAATGTATTCTTCATTGTTTCTGTAGAAATTTAGGACCTAATGCTTGTTTGTGTACTTACATGATTAAAGCTACTCAAAATAAGTGTAGCCACTAACGTGAATAACAGCTACAGGCTTAGTCTCTTTATTTACAGCAGTGCATGATTACTGGCATGTATTTATAATATCTAAATTCTGAATCTCTTGTGTTCTTTTTGTTCTTTTTCCCCAGACTTTTATAGTATTGAATAAAGGGAAGACAATCTTCCGATTTAGTGCCACACCTGCCTTGTACATTTTATCGCCTTTCAGTTCTCTTAGAAAACTAGCTATAAAGATTTTGGTTCATTCATATCCTTTTCAGTTGGTCTGGCTAAAAATATTACTGGTCTGTTTTTAATGTTTAATAATAATTGGTTGCTTGTTTTAATATTTAAATATGTATTTCCTGTTAATTTTTTCTCACAAAATCTGAGCGAAATTGATCACCTTAATTATCACTGATTAAATAAGGTGAAAGAAAGAGATCCATGTTGTATATTTCTAATATACATTATTTGCATAGCATCAGCAGTCACTGTTCTCATATTTTTAAATTTACTTTGACAGTTGCAAATTAAATAATTTCATGATAGCATCATATGCATCGTTAAGGTGCCATAGCCCAGGAAACCACCTAATTGCCTGTGATGTAAATCCAGTGTGAGAAGTTATTACTGTATATTCCTTGACTAGTGTCTACATTATTCAGCATTTTTATTATGTGTACTATTTTAACCAACTGCGGATTTATGACAATGAATAAAACTCCAGAATGGGCAAAGAATGTAGAGTAAGTAAATTATATCATAAAGAAGAGTATTGAGAATTAATATTAAATATTTGTACAGTGCTTCTAAAATGTAATGTGCCATACCAGTATCTTTTATTCTTTTCAAGGTTATAGCTAATGCTAAACATTTTATTCTTTTCTTTGTTATTTCAAAGGCTAAGTTAAGTCTTTGGTTTTCTCATCCTCTAGTTTCTTGCCCTTGCCTGAATTAAAATCACTGCATGTTATGCTTGTCAAATGCTACTATAATTTTATCTACACAAAATTCTCTTCAGTGGCTGTTACTATCTTCACATACAGAATTTACCCTCTCATGAACTCTACCTCTCTTTGATTTTCATGTTTTTTAATTTTTTCTAAAAAGGAAGACAGTTATTCTGAGAGAAAGTGTTGCCTTTTTAGGTTGTCAAAAACAATACAATAGCAAGGGAGGGGCGAATGGGGCAACTGCCCCAGGTGCCAACAGGCAAGTTGAGAGTCAATATTTTGTTATAAATATTTCAGAAAATTCTGGCAAGCATGGGGGGGTGGGGCATTAGATCCCCGGATCAATGTGCGGGGTGAGAGTGGGCTGCCACTGTGGACTTGCCACGAGCACCAAACTTCCTTGCCACAACACTGGTCACAAATCATTTTCTTTTAAAATATAAAAGGAGGTCCCTGACTTGAATTCAAGCAAAAATGCTAAGTGTGTGTCTTACAGCTTTTTCTTTGGCTGGGGCTTGGCAGTGCATCTGGTTCCTGACCCTGAAGAGTGTGCAACAAAGTAAAAAGGAAATATTCTATCAAAAACTCTTCTCTGAAAGTCTGGTTCCTTCGAGGATTGTTCTCTCAGAAAGCCTATACCAGCCTGTCTGCAGCTCACAACATAGGAGAAAACAAACAAACACAATTGGCTTGTGAACCAGTATTGAACAATCTAAGAATAGAATTTGTTCCAAGGTGTTTATATGACTTAAAGGCTAGAGGCAGACATTCAGAAAGCCTGAGCCTGAATTGTTCAATTTTTGCAGGTTAGTCTCACTTGGCTAGGCTAAACTGATTTGTAACTGAACAGACATTCTCTCTGTACTGAGAAAATGTAGGCACATGCCTTTGGCTAGAAGCTGGGGGGCACTAGAGTAGCCCTCCCTTCACTTACACAGTGCTGAGCTGAGGGAGGCATGGCCAGGTCCTGGCAGGAAGTCCTGATTAGTGAGGTCTGTCTGCACCATCCCAGGCTTTTCCCTGCTTGCTGCTCAAAGGGCAGCAGTGTTGCCAGCCCCCAGCCCCCTGCTAGCACTCTGAGGCAAAGGGAGGGGGGTGCAGTGCATGCATCTGTTGATGATACAGAGCTTTTCAATCTTTCTCCCTGCTTCTTTATACTGTCTGCAGCAAACTGACAGGCAAGCAAGCCAGCAGGGGGCTGATAACAGTGTTTATCACCCCATCAGCAAAACAATAGCCTCTCTGATTAGTTCAAACTCTTCTTAAACAGCTTACCAACCGACCTGTTGATTAGCTCCAAAAAGCCCTAGGCAGTCACTGTTCTTTCTGACTGCCCCAGTGAAATTGGAGAGACACACACACAGACACTTCTTGGCAGTAGCTAGCATACCACATGCCTAGGGTCCATGGGGCTGGGTTCCCTGCTATGGGAGATGGGAGAGAGTGGGGATTCCTGCTTGAGCAGTGAGGTGGGGGTAGAGCAGGGGGAAGCCAAGCTTCCCTGGGACAGACATTGTATAAATTGGTTTGGGTTTATCTTAAAGTGGTTTCAGACATTTTCGGACTGGTTTATGTGCACTGAATATCTTACCTGTTACAGGTTTAAAACAGTTTCTGATCACTTAAACCAGTTTATGTGTAATGTATGTCCCTAGCCTAAGTCTGTCAGCTGCCTTTATCATGGATCATGAGGCCTTCTTGACTTGCCTTTTAGATTAGTAAGAATTAATATATCTTATGAATCCATGTCTCTTTTTTGACTATCACTTCTGGGGGTTGGAGGTCTCAAACAAGAGTTCTGTGAATCCCTTTCTCCTTTTGTTCAGTGTGCATATAAAGCTACTGGGAAGGACAGTGAGGCTTATCAAGTATCAAGTACATGGTTCCACAGTGATAACTGAGAGCTTAATAGACTTCACCATTGTTTGGATTGGGTCCCATAGTTTCATCCCATTCAGCCCACCAGTGCTGTCAAATACCTTATCCAATGTACAAGTTAAATTGAGATAGAGATGACTGAAGTGAAATTGATAAGCTGAGAGAAGCAACTCAGAAATTATGGCTGAGGACTTTATTTTCCACGTACTGGGTGTGGATGTGTGCCATTTGTTGTAAAGCAGAAAAAGGAGGTGTCATAGGATGTCCAGGCTGCCATTAGACAACCATATAGCAGTACTTTTTTAGAAGGCTTTTTTATCTTTGTTCAGAGAGGAGGTCATGATCACTTTTCACAGATATGGCTCTTCACTCCTCAAAAAGTGAGTGAGAGAGACACAAATGTGCTCTCAGTTGGAAGGCACTGAAGTCCTGCAGTGGGTTTTTTGTTACCTGTGATCCAGTAATGTGAAACGCAGTCCATTTAACCATTATTCTGAGTGCTTCTCCATGTCTTTCCAGTGTCATATATTACTGAATGATAACTTTAAAAATATTTTCTTTAGGTACACTTTCACTGGAATTTATACTTTTGAATCTCTTGTAAAAATTATTGCAAGAGGCTTCTGTATAGATCATTTTACTTTCCTTCGAGACCCCTGGAACTGGCTTGATTTCACTGTTATTACCTTTGCGTAAGTATTTTAATAATTGTTTTAAGAATGACTGTGTACTCTCAGAACTTCTTTTCAGTGGTGAATTTCATTTATTTATACATATATTTTGATGCCTGAGAGGTTATTTGTAGCCACATTTAAAGCTTGTAGTTGCATGTTAAAGCTTTTACAAATTTTTTTAATAATTCACACTTATAAAATGTTATAAAGAAACAGTATGCCATCCGCTTGCGTAAAAAAGAAGCTGCTCTTCTGTCTTCACTGTACAATTTAGCCAGACTAATTAGGATTCATAGAGAGAGGATAAGTTAATTAGGATAAGAGAGAGATAGTTAGCCCTATTTACTCTAAAGTAGTGTTTCTCAGCCTTTTTAGATTTGAAGCACTCTTTGTTAGACTAGAGGCATTCCTTGAAAAATGCTAACTCTTAGTTTTCGCTTGTTATTTGACTAATAAAAATAATAGATCAATTTTTCTTTTGCAAAGATCACAACTGGCCAGAAGTTTTTAATGCTATGGAGATGCTACTGAAATCTCTGGGTTTATTTTGTGAATCTAACAGTGCATGACCACCCCATGGCACCCTTGAAAGGATCTCCAAGAACCCCAGGGTGTCGTGGCATCCTGGCTGAGAATCACTTGTGTAAATTCAGGCATAAGGCAGGATAAGGTGACACCTTAGCCGTGATTGTGGGATCAAGCATCAGATTCCATCACACCTTATTGCTGGTGCAGGGGGAGCCCAGGATCATAATCCTTGCATGGCAAATAGCAAGCTCCTATGGCTGGGAGCCTGTCAGCTGCTCCAGGTTCCCAGCTGTGGGGATATACCATGCCTCCCCCTAGGCTGGGAGGCATCAGATGATCTGGGCTTCCAGACACAGAGACACACCATGCGCCCCTGAAACTGGAACCCCCTTCAGCTGATCCAGGCTCCCAGCAGTGGGTCATGTGGTACATCCCTGTGGCTGGGAACTCAGATCAACTGACAGTGGTCCCATCCACAGCTGGGAGTACTAGCCTGGTGTAACAAGTGGGTGTCCCAGGGCTGGTCTAAACGTAAGCCCATCCACTTGTCTCTGGTCAAAGCACCTGCCTACTTTGCCCATCATGCCTTAGATGATACAACAGAATGATGTTAACAAGGTGGGAGGCTGCCCATTTACTTGCCCTAGTGACAAGGGCCTATGTACACAGCTCTGACCACCCCTGTATTGTCCCATTCCTTGCAGATGTCATCCATGTTCCTCCAGTGTCGCACACTGGGACCTGAGCTCTGCAGTTTCATACGGGACTTCCAGTCCCCACTGGAGCTTGCAGTCCCAGTGCCTTCTCACTGGGCTTTCAGGTGTCCTTCACTTGGGCCTCCAAGCCCCATCCCAATTCTGGGCTCCAAGCCCCATTTCCATTTAGGGTTCCCAGCCCCATGCTGGGCTCCAAGCCTCACTCTGGGCTCCAAGCCCCATATGCTCCACAGTGGGCTTCATAGTATCCCCTGCCCTACACTGGGCCTCAACAAACCCTTTATCTCTTTTCCCAGGAGCTTCTCATATAGCACCCCAAAGGCTCAGGGCCCCTTCCCCCTGGAGCCTCACTCCTAGCTCCTATGTGCAGCCTCAGAGTTCACGGTGAGTCTTGGCACTGCCCCAGGTCCCTTCCTGACCTGGGGCCGTGCCTCAGAACTTCCCCTAGCCTTTCCCCTCCACGGGGTCACCTGCAAGGCAGTGGGTGCTGAGGCTTTCTGGTGCCCCATACTCTCCCGTCAAAGGGGAGGCCCCTGGAAGCTGTCCTGTCACAAGCAGCCCCACCACACCATCCAACCGCAGCAGAGTGTAGTTTTAGGTCATGCCCAGGACCAGGAGCCTCTAGCTATCCCCTTAGCTCCTGCCCATACATCCAAGGTGTCCAAGCAGCAGCTCAGCTGGTGGTGTCTCTCCAGCTGCCGGCAGCAAACTGTTGCCGACTTGCTGTTCAGGGCCCTGCTCTTATAAGGGTCAGTTGGGCCCTGTTCCCAGTTGGGCCATTGTGCCTAACCAGTAATTGCCACTAGCTGCAGACTACCTGGCTGCTGCCTATGCACCTGCAAGTAACAGAGCACCCAGTTTTCTGTTATACCTGGCCACACATTCAATTAATGGCATGAAAGGAACCAGACACAAAGCTTTTACACATTTAGTCCTTGTTTTATCACACAATTAATTGCATGAATGTGTGGCCAGGTAACAATAGAAAACATGATTAACTGGTTAATCATGTCTTATGTATAATGTGTATCAGTTGCCAGGATTCTTAACCAGGATTCTTAATCCTGGTTGAGAATCACTGGCCTAAAGTCAGACAAAAGGCAGGGCAAGGTGGCATCCTAGGGCATTTATATATGCCCTCTGGGGGAGAAAGGGAGGTGCTTTAATTAGAGTAGCTCTTGGAGCTGCTCTAATTAAAGAGCCCAGAATGTCTTTTGTATTAGTGTTCCTGTGCTTCAAAATATCAGTGGGGGTGCTTTATCTGAAGCTTGTTGAATTAGC